TACCCAAGTACAAATTACAACTAAAATAATTTTGAATAAGGTCTAATAAGTTCAGAAAAATCAAAATTAGGTGCATAGAACACATCCTTAGTTCAAATAAGTTCAATTCAGGTTTAATAAGTTTTAATAAGAGAACCCAATATCAAATTACAACTAAAATAAGATTTAATAAAGTGTAACAAGTGCAGATAATTTCTTATCAGCGGAAAAGAAGTGAATAGAACACCCCCTTAATAATTAATACACCTTATATAACTTAGAATAAGGTGAACAATTTGGACCCTAAGTTTCAATAGGTAAAATAAGGTCTAGTAAGTTACAATAAATTCTAATTAGGTAAAATAAGTTCCAATGGTTTTATATATTACACTAAGGGCATGTTCTCATTGACTGAAATTAGCTGAACTTAACTTAACTTAACTTATTAGAGCTGCACTTAACTCGAATGAATATTTTATAAGAGAAGGAAATTAGGAACTAAACTAAATATTATTTTTAAGAACTGTATTGGACAAAATATTATTTTTATAATTGCATTTTTTATTTATATTATCGTATTAGTCTATTTATTAAAGAAGATAAATTAACGTATTTTAATTCGGATTTTCATATCGGATCCAAAAAACTGATTTTTAATTCGGATTGGATTGAAAAAGTAATTCCGATCGGGTCGGATTGAAAAATGGAAAACCTTATTATATTTCGGAACGGATTGAATTTGGCCTTAATCTAAATTGAAAACCAAACGGGACACCCCTAATACCCACTATTTATTCTCAAATGTTTTCAATTACTATAGTTAAAGAGAATTCATCTTCTGAAAGATCTACAACAATTAACTTTTATGAATTCGCTAATTGTTATCTACATTTAGGGGTGTAAATGAGCCGAGTTGAGCGGAGTACTACCTTGTTCATGTTCAAGTTCATTTTACTTAGATGAGTCCGAGCACGATCCCGAGCTTTCAAACAAATTTAAAAATATGTTCAAGCTCGATTCATTTAGTACACTATATGTTCGCGGACGATTCGTGAATGGCTTGTTTATTAAACGAGTTTATAAATAAGCGTTTTATGAATGAGTTTAGTAATAAACGAGCTTCTCTAATAAACGAGATTTGTTTTTTGACATTTGAAAATCTCAAAATATAGCAAAATAATTAGACGAGTAATACACAAACATAAATATAATTAACAATTGTATATAAATCAATAATTCATGAATATAATTAGGCGAGTAGTTCACAAACATAAATAAATGAGTCGTTCGTGAACTTATTTGAACGAGCATACCTATGTTTGTGTTCAAGATCATTTATTAAACGAGTTTCAAAATTTGTTCAAGTTCGTCTCATTTATCAAATAAACAAGCATGAACGAGGTTCAGCCGAGATTAAACCCAAGTAGTTTATTGATTAGCTTGGTTCATTTACACCCCTATCTACATTCACAAACTCTTTTCATTTTCAAGTTGAAAATCATAAATTATACAACCACATCTAAGAATTACATTAACAAAATTAACCAATATACATCTAACATTTTTTTATCATTTATTATACTATAACTAAGACTTTGATATTAATTTTGAAAATAAAACACTTTTTTTTTCATACTAATATAATACATATACTCCTAAAACAATAAATTTTGATACTAAAATAATACAAATGATGAATTACAAAAATTTTCAAAACAATTTCAATACTACAACAATACACTTGGTTACCGTCGTCTCTTTCGCTCGCTCGTCGGCACCTTTTATTTCACCCTCCATTGTTCTAGACCATCATATGGACCACATCACCTGTGATTTTACCGACCCTCATTTCATACTCTAAACCACATCAATTTCTCAATACGTCGACCATCGGCCCTTCATTTCCTCTCAACCACCTTACTCACCTTATAGACACCATCGTCCACCCTCACCATAAAGCCACCGTCGTCCACCCTCGCCTTAAAGCCACTGTCATCCATCCTCGCCTTAAAGCCACCTTACTCAGCTTAAAGCCACCGTCGTAGACCATCGCCTTAAAGCCACCGTCCGTCGACCCTCACCTTAAAGCCACCGTCGTCGCCCCTCCTACGTCTCTTCTCGCAAATATTCACTGCCAAAAGTACAATTATTTTCAAATTTTGAATTCAAAATTCTAAATTTTCATTTGCAAAATTTTTCAGAACGACTTTTTCAAAAACATTGGGGCGGGACCAAGTGGGCCAACTACATTAGCCAATAAAAACATTTGTCTATGTAGGGTACATAGTCTATGTTTACCCTTTTCGTAGATATACAAAACAATCAAGAGACAAAACTAAGGTAACATAATAAGAGTGCAAGTGCATGGTATAAATGGGAGCAAGCAAGGTCCCACAAATAAAGGGGTCATTTTCTGTTTACCTACCGACAATGATAATACGGGGTAATATGGAGGGAGTTTTATGAGATTTTTCCATCAATCTATCTATCCTTTTTACTAGTATTATTATTTCTGCTTCAATTAAATAGTGTCCCCATTATTATTCTTATGATTTGATATCATATAATCTCATGCATCTTGCCTGGCATATTTACATACATACATTTTGTGATTGTTCTTCATATCATCATATCTTCCTTCCTGCCTTCCAAAAGTACTACCCCAATTCAATTGACTACCTTAGCATCCTACCGAATAATATCTCTTCCATTATTTTTGTAGGCCAACCTATTTTGGTGACATGCAATCAATCATAATGTTACATTTATTTAATTGGACATTTGGGCATGCTGTTTGTTACTTGTCACTTGTTACGTATTAATTAAGTAAAGTAACGAGTTTAAACACTATTTCAGACATCATATAGAAATACAGTTCGAATAAATTGGACAAAAAGTAACAAAATAAATCAAAGCTAAATGATAACACATCATTAAGAGTCAGAGAGATTAAGACAATGTGACAACTTGTTATTGGCAAAGAGTGAATATATATAAATGACTACAGTCAGTACGTGATCACTGCGGCAAAGAAGCCATTCATGATCATGTTTCCCTCTATATGGGGTGAACTATGAACTCGTCAATAAAGGTGCAATTTACCAATTTCGGGAGTAAATTTATGATATTTTTTTTTTTTTTTTTTTTAATAAGGTTGCTCAAATGAGGCTAAATAATTAAGGCAAGGGAAAAGCACGTTGTATTTCTCAGATTATTTGCAGGTGGAAATGTGACAGAAACCATTAAACATTCACTCAATTTGGAATTTGAATTTGAGTTATGTTGGAAATTGATAATATCAGAAAACCAACATTTTTTGTTGGATTTTAATTTTGCAGTGTAATAATAATAATAATAATAATTATTATTATTATTATTATTATTATTATTATTATTATTATTATTATAATAAGTATGGAATAGTCCGTAATAATTGATATAAAAACCTGATAATATGCAAGCATAAGAAGTTTAGAACCATGCCCGGACCATGCCTCTTTGGTCCACTACGTATTGTACACCTTTCTATCAAATTTTAACCATTTTCTACAAAGATATCTTATCATATGTAATAAAAATTATTTGTTTTGGTAATTGATAGTCCTATATGTCATGAGTTTGGCTTGTCTACAATGTCTCAAGTGATACTCCAAGTGGGATCAGACAAAGATTCATTACGACTTAACATGCTTTACACTAGCTAGTATTCCCTTCATCCTTAATATGTCTGACTGTTTTTCAATATTACTCCGTTATATGTCTGATTGTTTTTCACAATTTATATACTTATGTCTAAATTGAGGATTTTGTGGCGCTCCAAAGTCAATACCTTACATAAGGTATAGAAAATAAGTCCAATTGATAACATTGTTGTCTGTTAATTTTCACTTAACTAGTAAAATTAAGTGAAAATAAGGTGAACAAAACGTGATGCCTTAATAAGTTACTGATACATTTATAATCTTGTCCCAAAATTTTATATTTTAGTGTTAAAATCATCTTATCATTAGAAGTTTAAGAATAAACTACTTTTACATAGAGAGATAATCCAATTTTCCCAATATTTAAGCTCAAAAGAGAGGGAGAATTTTTTGATTGTCTAAAAGAATGCAAGATCACCAATTTGGTAAGTGACTCAAAAAAGTACAATCAAGAAGAGATACAAAAGTACTTCGGATATTTCCTGTTTATGGTTACTTCAAGATATTAGGGATGTCATTTCCAGGTTTTCTGCTTGCGAGCTTCAGAAGGTTCCTCGTCAGTGGGTTGCTCCGGCTCATTGGTTGGCTACCAAAGATTGTCGGCGTCAATTTTTGTTCTGGTCTTTCTAAGTTTTTTTTATTTTTTTGTGTTGTCGTCTTTCTTTCTTAGTTCGTCTTGTCAAAAAAAAAAAAAAAAAAAGAGATACAAAATTTCTTCCAAAAAAAAATAAAATAAAAAATAAAAAATCAGCTTTGTAATACAATTTGGGAGTGAATGGACCAGCCCAGCCCATATTCACACAAAAAGGCTCAATTGTTAATAACTATAAGCTCTAAGGCTCAATTGTTGTGCTAGGCCTCGATCAAAATTCGATTTTTTAGGTTTACATAGCACCACGTACTATCCCAATATTTACCTAAATTACATTCATGAATCTCACAATGCTTACTACTACAAGTATAATATTGCAACTACAGTATATGATTGACCCGATATATGGTGTACATTATGTGCACAACCAAGGCAGAATCATACGTAATAAAGATTGTTATTCACTCTCAATATGAAGGATCTTAGTACATGGATACATATATATCACAATCGATGTGTATTTAACTGTCACTTTATTAGATGTGTATTTAACTGTCACTTTATTAGTTTAGAATACATTATCAATGATAAATTTAATAACACGTAATTGTGATATGTGGAAGTTACATAACAATAGTAATGCCACACTTGTATATGAGTTATTAGCATAATAAAAAAGCATTTGATAAATCAATTGTAATAATAAAATCGGAGTTATTGTTTGCAATTCCGTTGGTTAATCCTTCATGGTGATTGGATACCTTACTATGTGCTTAGAGGCTGGTGTGATTGAATTAACATAATTACCACAAAAAAATTAATTGGCAAGCAAAATGGATCAAATTAAACTAAATTGATTTATTGGACCTAATGGACCATAGCATTTTGTGTGTAACAAATAATAAGAGACCGAGAGAATACAATATAACAAACTCTCTCATACAGCAACATCAATTTTACTCATCTTCCCACTTATCTATTGCAAAAAATTAATTTGTGTCAAAACCAAAATTACAATTTTCCGACAACTTGCAATAAAATTACACCAAATTAATCTACTAACATACACATAAACTGAACTCATTCATGTACGTACCAACATAAACAAATGTGACTGAATTTACAAAAGAAAATTAATAACTAAAAAAAAAAACCATGTATTTCATGTGTTATAAATTTTGTGAACGATCATATGAGTAGCACAACCAGCAAGAAAGAAGAGAGCAAGCCCAAGAATGAAATATAAGTGGTGCTAAGGGCAGAATTAGTAGCATGAGGAGAAGAGGGAGCAAGAGCACGGGAAAAAACTTCGAGGAAGTGGCGGCCACGACCGGAGTAACCCTTGCCAGGGACGACGTGAACGTGTAGCTTCTGGCCGAGCTCGCAGTGAGTCCCGACGCTGCTGTAGAAGTAGTATTCGCCGGTGGTGTTGAGCTTGACTACGGTTGGACCTTTGTAAAACATGTTTATTACATTGTCATGCCCACAATTGTCATAGTCTGCCTTTGATACTTGTAGCACGTTGTGTGCTCCCATTCTGTATGGAAACACTGCAATTTTCATTTCAATTAGGCTAATGATAACTGTAGACCTTAGGGTAGCATATAGCTTAAAAAAAAAAAGAAAAGAAAAGATTGAGCGAGAATACATAAGCATTAATTACATCAATCTATGAGTGGTTTTTGCTACAAATTTCTAAACTTGCATAGGGCATTATTTTAGAACATGTACCAAATGTTTATATGCCATTCTTATGTATAAAAATCCCATAGAGACCAAAAAGTATCTTGCACATTATATTATAAAACAGATCGATGTGTTAATTAAGCAATATATCAATGAACAAATTTAGGTCAATTTCCTTCCGCAATTTTACATCTTTTGTAAAATTTAACACATACAAATTCATTTTTCATTATGTACCACTTATTATGATGAAAGGGATCGATCGATAGACTTATAAAACCATATAATGGCAAGAAAATTCAATATCATGGCATGATTTAGGAGGATTATAAATTATCATGATTATTGATAATATAATCTGATTAGTTCATTTTAAATTTAAAAAGTAATTTGCTAAAGTTGTAACATTAATTGATAATTAGATAGAGGTATAGAATTATGGACAAGAATTTTCAACTCAGCATTATATTGACCTGACTCAAACTCAATGAACTCAAACAATTCAAAACTTAAAAAACTCACCTAATTTGTCACCAACCCCGAAGGTTCTAGGCTTAGCCCAATCCGCGAAGAAGGTGACATTAGGGGGTATTTCCCAACCATCAGTTCCTCCAACAACATGAATCAATGCGCTAGTAGATTGCAGCAAAACGCAGCACATTACAACCAACAACGGCAATGCGATGCGTATCACACCCATCTTTTCTTTTCTACCACCAAAATTTAATCTTTTAACCTATTCAAAAGCCTTTAAAAGGTTGAATTTTTATACCAAATTTAAAAATAAAAGGTGTTTTTTTGTTTTAAATGGGGGTGGTTGTTATTCTATATAATCAACAAAAATCTAGGATTAAAGGCACATTTGATTTTATCTTTAATTAAGCTTTTTACTAATATTAGTATAAACGCCTAATATAACTAATTTTTAGAGTATTAAAATCTAACAATAATTAAAGTGGGGTGGTTAATTTGATGTTTTAATACACATGAACTGCATGCATGCACTCTAATTATAGAATTGTAATGAAGCACCCCACGTGAAATAGAAATTTCATTAACCATAATTTGGTAAGTTTTGCTAGTGGTTGGGATCGTATTATGTAAATTTGCAAATTTGGTATATAAACATAAGTTTCCCAACGAAGACAGTTAAACTTATTTAGGTTCTGTTATGTTGACCTTATTTTCACTTATTTCACGTTTAATAAGTTCAGTTAAGTTCAGATAAGTTCATATAAGGGTTAATAAGTTCAGATAAGTTCAGGTTTAATAAGTTCTAAATTAACGTTCTCCTCACCTTATTTCCACTTATTATATTTATATAGTGTTATTACTAATCAAGATTGCTTTTCACTTTTTTTTTTTTTTTTTTTGTAAAATTTTGTGTGTTTTATTATCATGTTTTCATATAAGAATAAAGTAACATTTGCATAAAAAATAAAATTAAAGTAACGTTATACTCATAAATTATGGTAAGGCTAGATAAATTTTGGTTATATAAAAGTTAAGCAAATCAACAAGTTTATTATTTTTGTGAAAAAAACAAAGGGAAATTAATGAGAATGAAAGTCAGATCAACAACAAAACCAAAGGAGAATTTTTACTATTTCTAAACTATAAAATAGTAGTGTTGTTATTAAATAATGTCTTATAAGTGTTAATAAGGTTTAATAAGGTCAAATAAGTGAAAATAAGTGTTAATAAGGTGTAATAAGTTCAGATAAGTTCAGATAAGTTCAGTTAAGTTCAGATAAGTAAAAATCATGTGAATAGAACACACCCTTAGTTACAATATACAAATAAATTACACTGCACTATGCACTCACACAATAAATAAATTATGTCTATTAAATGTGAAAATTAGTACATAAAGGTGTTTCATATGTCACATTTAGTTTGAAACATCTAAAAATGGAAGTGATTTAAACTAGAGGAGGGATCAATAAAGGATCAACAAACAAATAAACCTAGATGCAATGTTGTAATCTGCAATAAAAATTTCCAATATAGCAATAATAATGTATAAATTCATTCCATAAATTCGATTAGAATACAAGGAATGATTTTCTTTTCGGAAATTAATTATGTGGATAACATGGATGATATATTAAAATTCATCAATTACACGAGTGATGGTTACTCCGTAAGGAATTGTATGAACGCGGATGTCCCTCTTTAAATTCACAAATTCAAGTACCATATCTAAAGGTGGGCATGGGTCGTGCTGGCACGATTCCGGCAAGGCCGGGCACGACGACCCAGTTGTGGGCCGTGAATAAAAAATTAAAATTTGGCACGGACACGGAGGGCGACACCGTCATCAGCCCGTGGGCCGGCGGCACGATCCGCCAAGCAACCGGCATGTGGCACGGCCTATGCCCACCTTCATTTATATAAACTTATTTATATAAATTTATTTAATTAAGTTTATTTATATAAAATTAATTCATTAATAAATAAATATTAATTAAATTGAAGTTGTTTAAAAAAAATATTAACATTAACATAAATAAATCACATTATTTATATAAAATTAAGTTGTTCAAATATATATATATATATATATATATATATATATATATATATATATATATATATATATATATATATATATATATATATATATATATATATATATAGGAGGAGGCTCTCGTGAGAATTTTTCTTATGTGAGAACACTCTTTATGTTCTAAATTTTTACTCGTATGTTCTAAATTTTAAATCTAATGTTCTAAACTTTTCCTTAGGTGTTCTAAATTAAATCAAATGTTCTAATTTAGTACTCACATGTTCTAAACCATAAATTAGTTAAGTTTAATATCATAAATTTTAAATAACTTGTTCCAAAATTTTAACTTATATATTCTAAATTTTAAAATGTGTGTTCTAGATTTTTAATTATATGTTCCAGATTTTAAAGCGTATGTTCTATTTTTTACTCATATGTTCTAAATTTTTTACTCACACTTTCTATATTCTATATCAGTTTGTTCTAAATTTTTATTCACATGTTCATAATCTTAAATCAGATTTTCTAAATTTTACTCATATGTTTAAAATTTCATAAAGCATATTTTATAAATTTTTAATCACTTGTTCTAATTCTTAAATCAAATGTTCTAAACATATTACTCACATAGATGTTCTAAATTATTACTCAGATGTTCTAAATTTTAATTTCAGACACATGTTCTAAATTTTTATTCGTATGTTCTAAACTTTTACTCACATGTTCTAAATTTAAAATCAATTCTCATATAAGTATGAATTCTCACATATGAACCTATTCTCACCGGATCCCTCCCCTATATATATATATATATCGATTTTTTTATATACATATATATTTTATAAAAAAAATATGGGATTTCCCGCTGCTTGGCACGGATGGCCCGCCGTGAAGCCGGCCCGACACGAGCCCCGCCGAGGCACGGCCAGGCACGCCCGCGACGGTCCGACACGACAAGATGCCCATGTTTAACCATATCCTTTAATTCACAAACAAACTTAATACATATTCACAAATAAACTTAATACATATCCATTACTTGCAATTAATTTTGTATTGTATTAACTTGATCAAAACTTTAAACCACTACCTCAAACATTACCGTAATAATTGGTCTTGTATGGACCCGGTCTACAATAAATTATTGTAAACCAAAAATTTGACACTTTCAAATAATATAATTACATTTTGGATGATATAATCACTTTTTTAGATGATATAATTATTTTTTTGTGAGTCATATTTTGATCTCATATTAAACCATTTAATGAGATTATATAATTACCTTTAGGATGATAAAATTTAAAAATCATCTTTTGAATGATGTAATTTACTATTTGATACTTTTTATAATGATAAATTTAGTTTTTGAGCGATATATTTACATAACAGTTTCAAGATGATATAATCACTTTTGTAATAATATAAACACATTTTCGTATGATATAATCACATTCGTATGATATACTAGAAGGTTGGGTCTACAATAACTTAGTGTAGACCGGGTCTATTCTAGTTTTTATATACTGTAAAATAAGACTTATGTTTATTGCATAGCGTAACATTATGTTTATTGCATAGCGTAACACCAACTAAACTAATGGCGCAAAAACCATTTCCACAAGGCTCTATTACATTCCACGGCCCACTAGAAAACACGTAAACAAAATCAAAAAAATTCTTACACCAAAGTTCTGCTCTTTGCCCACAGATTGACATTTCTTGGGGAAGGAAAAACACCTTCAAATTGTTTATGATTCCTCTCCTTAAACCCTAAATCACTAGTTAATTTTCCCCAAATTTGTTGTTATTCAATTTGGTAATTTGTTTTTCTTCTCATTGAAGAATCTGCAGAATAATGGAAGCATCAAAAGCAGTTTGTGGGAAAGAAGCATTGGATCTTCTAAATTGTGTTGTTGATTCAAATTACGATGAAGAGAAATGTCGTAAATTTCTGCAATCTCTTCGCCAGTGTGTCCTCTCCAAGGTTTTCTCTCTCTCTTCTCTTATTTAACTTACATTTCAATGGAAGTGCTGCATTCTGATTGTTTGTTGATTTTCGTTTTTTTTTTTTCAAGTAATTTCATCTTAAATTGTGATTATTTTGCATCTTAAAATTTTGAAAATGAGGTGAAATTAGCAAAGTTAGAATCTTAATTGTAGAATCCAATCATTGTTTTCAGCCTTAATTTCATGAAATTTAGAGGGTTTTGAATGATATGTTAAGAACGAAAAAACCAATTAATACCTCAGTTACATATTATTTGCAACGATTTCATAAAGTAGAGAGGAAAAATGTCTAATCGTTGCAAATAATATGAAACGGAGGTAGTAGTTGTAATTGATGGTGGACAAATGATGGTAGAGAAAGATGGGTTGAACTATGTGTTGATAATGTATACCATATTGTTGGAATTGGTTATAGTGCTATGCTGAATTTAATCCATTTTATAGCAAGAGATCAGTGTCCCATTGATCTGGAGTATCTGCTGTTGTTAGATGTTAGAACTCGCTTTGGTGATCGTTTATGTTTGATATACGCGGTCTCTTAGATGTTGCAAGTGCTAAAAAACACATTGGAGACTCTGATTAGTTTAATTTGTCTTGAGTATTGACTGTCTTTGGTGTTAGATATTGTTTAGGTGATGGTTCATGTTTGAAATTTGTGGTCTTTAGATTATGCTAAAGCTTAACAAATAAGTATATAATTGTAGACTCTAATTGGCCTAACCTATGCCATAACCTTGGGACCCCGTAATAGATTGTAGTTAGTCTCGAGTGATTAAGAGATAAGGATCTAATGATGCTTATGCGGCGCCTTGACCTTCTAGCCTACTGGGTTGTTGCTGTAAGTTCTGAATTCTTTGGCAATGAGCCTAAGCCCTGTAGGGCATTTATGGGAGTAAGTTATTTATTAAGCTAGAGCAACATTAATGTCTTGGATTGTTTTTGGGTGCAAGTAAATTGTAATTAGTGTTACTTAGAATGTACCATGTGCCACTGTACCGGTAGTATGTGGAATTGGTATGGGAACGTTATGTGCTGCGTAGTTTTACACTTTTACCACGTTAGTCCAAGTGGATATCGTGTACGCATACCAAATTTGCACGTTCCAGATTGTGGTGTGTGGGGGAATTAGTGAATTATACAATATCAGTGGTAATCCACTGAATCACTTGTCTTGTGCAGTTTGAAAGAATGAATTTCTTGCTATGCTTTGAAATGAGTAAATTGCATGAGGCAAATCATGTTGCACAGCTGCTCAGTTCTTGTCATGCGATAATCATGTCTTGTTATTATATGTGGAAAAATGTATTGATAATCTAATGCTCTGTCACTCTGTGTACGCTTACTTTGTTGGAACACTTGCTGTTATAAGGGTTGCGTCATCGCAGCATATTTATGTTTATTACTTTAAGTTGTATTTGTCTATTAGCTATGTTTCTGGCCTATGGTATTGTCATGGTGCTGGTTGTTTGAGCAAAATTATGCAAGAGACTGATTTAAGAATGGTGGAATATGATTGATCTAGGTGTTTAGATTAAATCAAATTTGGCTGATTGCTGCATCTCCCACCATAATGTTAAGACCTATAAGCCAATTTATTTCTTGAGGGAAAACTGATGTTGTTGCTTACTGACGCTGTTGTTCAATGTTTCTCATTATAGAAAGTGAAGAAATTCTCGCTACCTGACGAGAAGTCGCCAGAACTCCAGAAGTAGGTCATGGCAGCAAAAGGCAAGCCTGAATTGGTTAGTAGGAATTAATGTTGTAACGAGTTTATAAAGGCAGCATGTGTAAACACCATTGTTGAGAATTTTGTAGATAGAATTGTTGTGGAAGGCTTGAGTTCTTGAGGCTGGTTTCAATTTATGGTCTTTCAAGCCATCAAACAGACATTTTCTTACAATTGTTACAGGCGATATATAAACATGTCAATTGAATGTAGAGCTGTCAATTCGGGTAAACGGGTCGGGTTTAGATCAGGTAAGAGTGGGTCGGGTCAACTTGGGTTTGGTCAATTCGGATTAATTCCATAACCTATGCGGGTCGGGTTTGGGTTGGGTCATGCAAAAGTCGGGTCATGTCGGGTCATACTTCTTATCGGGTTTGGGTCGGGTTTAGGTCGGGTTAATAACATGTGGGTTACCTTCGGGTCGGGTGAACAATAGGTCGGGTTTAATTCAGGTTTTCACGGGTTAGGGTAAATCTCGGGTTCGGTTCAAATCAATAATTTGCGGGTTAGAATCAGGTCGGGTCATTTTCGCGTTTGAGTCGGGTTCGTTTCAAGTCAATAATTTGCGGATTATAATTATGGCGGGTTATTTTCAAATCGGGTCATTCTCAGGTTCAAATCAAGTTCGGTTCAAGTCAATAATTTGCGGGTTATAATCAGGTTGGATCATTTCCAAGTCGGGTCATTCTCGGATTCAAGTCGGGTTATGTTCAAGTCAATAATTTGCAGGTTACAATAAGGTCGGGTTATTTCCAAGTCAGGTCATATTCGGGTTCAACTAACTATAAATAGATAATTATCAAGCTAATTATTTCATTTGACTTTAGTATACGAAGTATATGACAATATACTAGGGAACTATAGTCTATAATTTAGGAAGATTATTAACTCCTTAGACCATACAACAATATATATACTATATTTAATCTTAAATTTGAGGATGATGCTCTTTTCTTTTGCTAGCCTGGACCGACTTGGTCTCCCTAGATAAAATGCTTTGATCAACAATAATAAAGTGGTCTAAATTGCACTTAAGGTGATTTGAAATCGGGTCAGGAACAATTTGGATTGAATTTAGGTCAGGTCAATAACAAGTCGTATTAATTTCGAGTCGGATTAGTAACAGATCGGGTTGAATTTTTGGGTCGGGAAAGTAATAGGTCTGGTAAAATTCGGATCGGGTCAATAACAAGTCGGGTTGAATTTGGGTCTGGTCAATAACAAGTCGGGTTGATTTCGAGTCGGGTTTGTAACAGGTTGGATTAAATTCGGATCAGGTTAGAAACGTGTCTGATTCAACCAGGTCAGGTTAGTATCAAGTTGTGTTAAACTCGGGTTTTGATGGGTTAAATCGATTTTGGGTCAATTTCGGTTCAAGTCGGGTTCAGTGCAAGTTAATTAAATTGGCCGTTGTAAACCGGTAAGTCAGTACAACTTGTAAATCGGTAAATTGACTGTTTAAAAGAAAATTGGATTGTTCCACACACCCAATTGGACTCCCGGAGGGTATTAGGAATCATGGTAAACATTGCGGCAATTTTAATTTCCGGGTGAAAAAAAGTCAAAAAATTCCAAAATTGAAGGCTAATATCCACGCTTTTTAAGAAATTTTTGAGGTTTCAGGGCCCGATGTCGAAAAGTATTGAAATTCTATGGGATACATCTCGGGGTCATATAATGCCGTTTGGAACCATATATGATCATTATTTTTTGTCATAAATGTTCGTGGCAGGCTTGAATTAATGAAATCGGTGCAAGTTGTAAACCGGTAAATTGGTCGTTTAAAGGCAAATTGGATGGTTCCACCCACCCAATTGGACTCTCAAAGGGTATTAAGGACCATGGTAAACATTTCGGCAATCAATTTTTTTTATGCGAAAAAAAAGTCAAAAAATTCAAAAATTGAAGGCTAATATCCACGTTTTTTAAATTTTTTTTGGAGGTTTCAGGACACGGTGTCGAAAAGTATTGAGATTTTAGGCAATACGTCTCGGGGTCATATAATTACATTAGGAACCATATATGATCATTATATGTTGTCATAAATGTTCGTGGTAGGCTTGAGTTAAAGAAATCGGTGCAAGTTGTAAATCGATCAGTAAATTAGCTGTTTAAAGGCAAATTGGATGGTTCCACCCACCCAATTGGACTCCCGGAGGGTATAAGTAACCATGGTAAACATTTCGGCAATTTTTATTTTCGCCTGAAAAAAGTCGAAAAATTACAAAATTGAAGGCTAATATCCACGCTTTTTGAGAAATTTCGAAGGTTTCGAGTTCCTGTGTCGAAAAGCCTTGAAAATTTAAGGGATACATCTCGGGGTCATATAATGCCGTTTGGAATCATATATTATCATTATATATTGTCATAAATGTTCGTTGTAGGCTTGAGTTTATGAAATCGGTGCAAGCTGTAAACCAGTAAACTAGCCGTTTAAAGGAAAATTGGATGGTTCATCCACCCATATTGGACTACCGGAGGGTATTAGGAGCCATGATTAACATTTTGGCGATTTTTATTTTCAGGCAAAAAAGTCAAAAAATCAAAAATTGAAGGCTAATATCCACCATTTTGAGAAATTTAGAATCTTCGGAGCCCGGTGTCTAAAAGTCTTGAAATTCTTGGGAATACATCCCGGGGTTATATTATGTCATTTGGAACCATATGTAATCATTATTTGTTGTCATAAATGTTCGTGAAGGCTTGAGTTAATGAAATCGGTGCAAGTTGTAAGCTGGTAAATTGGTCATTTAAAGGCAAATCGGATGGTTCCACCCACCGAATTGGACTCCCTGAGGGTATTAGGGACCATGGTAAACATTTCGACAATTTTTATTTCAGGACTTTAAACAGTAAAAAAATTCAAAAATTGAAGGCTAATTAATTAATATCCACGTTTTTTGAGAAATTTCGAAGGTTTCGAGGCCTGGTGTAGAAAAGTCTTGATATTTAGGGGATACATCTCGGGGTCATATAATGTTGTTTGGAACCATATATGATCATTATATGTTGTCATAAATGTTTGTAGTAGGCTTGACTTAACTAAATCCGTGCAAGTTGTAAACCGATAAATTGGTCGTTTAAAGGCAAATTGGATGGTTCCACCAACCCAATTGGACTCCTGGAGGATATTAGGGACCATGGTAAATACTTGGACAAATTTAATTTCCTGGAGAAAAAAAGTAAAAAAATTCCAAAATTGAAGACTTATATCCAGGCTTTTTGAGAAATTTCGATAGTTTCGGGGCCCGGTGTCGAAAAGTTTTGAAATTCTAGGGGATACATATCGGTGTCATATAATACCGTTTGGAACAATATACGATCATTATTTGCTGTTATAAATGTTCGTGGTAGGTTTGAGTTAATGAAATCGGTGCAAGTTATAAATCGATAAATTGGCCGTTTAAGGCAAATTGGATAGTTCCACCCACCGAATTGGATGCCCGGAGGATATTAGGGACCATGGTAAACATATTTGAAATTTTTATTTCCGGGCTAAAATAAGTCAAAAATATTCTAAAATTGAAGGTTAATATCCACGTTTTTTGAGAAATTTCGAATGTTTTAGGGTCCGGTGTCGAAAAGCATTGAGATTTTAGGAGATACATTTCGAGATCATATAATGCCGTTTGGAACAATATATGATCATTATATGTTGACATAAATGTTCGTGGCAGACTTGAGTTAATGAAATCGGTGCAAGTTGTAAACAGGTAAATTGGTCGTTTAAAGACAAATTGAATGGTTCAATTCCACCCACCCAATTAGACTCCCGGAGGGTATTAGGGACCATGGTAAACATTTCGACAATTTTTATATCCGAGCGAAAAAAGTCCAAAAATTCCAAAATTGAAGGCTAATATCCATGTTTTTTGTGAAATTTTGAATGTTTTAGGGCCCGGTGTCGAAAAGCATTGATATTTTAGGGGATATATCTCGGGGGTCATACAGTGCCGTTTGGAACCATATGTAAGCATTATTTGTTGTCATAAATGTTCGTGAAGGCTTGAGTTAATGAAATCGGTGCAAGTTGTAAACCGGTAAATTGGTCGTTTAAAGGCAAATTGGATGGTTCCACCCAGCTAATTGGACTCCCGGAGGGTATTAGGGACCATGGTAAAAATTTCGGCAATTTTTATTTCCGGGTGAAAAAAGTCAAAAAATTCCAAAATTGAAGGCTAATATCCACGCTTTTTGGGAAATTTTGGAGGTTTCCGGTAGAGCTGTCAATTCGGGTAAACGGGTCGGGTTTGGGTCGGTAAGAGTGGGTCGGGTCAATTCGGATTAATTCCATAACCTATGTGGGTTGGGTTTGGGTTTGGTCGTGCTTGAGTCGGGTCACGCCGGGTCATACTTTTTGTCAGGTTTGGGTCGGGTTTAGGCCGGGTTAATAACAGGTCGAGTGAACATTAGGTAGGGTTTTCACGAGTTAGGGTAATTCTCGAGTTCGAGTTGGGCTCGGAAAAAAATTGCAGATAAGAATCAGGTCGGGTCATTTTCGGGTTTGAGTCGGGTTTGGTTCAAGTCAATAATTTGCGGATTATAATCAGGTTGGGTCATTTTCAAGTCAGGTCATTCTCGGGTTCAAGTCGGGTTCGATTCAAGTCAATAATTTGCGGGATATAATCAGGCTAGGTCATTTTTAAGTCGGTTCATTCTCGGATTCAAGTCGGGTTATGTTCAAGTCAATAATTTGCAGGTTACAATCAGGTCGGGTCATTTCCAAGTCAGGTCATATTCAGGTTCAACTAACTATAAGTAGATAATTATCATTTTTATCAAGCTAATTATTTCCTTTGACTATAATATATATATATGTATGCAATATACTAGGGAATTATAGCCTATAATTTAGGAAGATAATTATCTCTTTGACCCCACAACAAATTTATACTATATTTAACTCTTAAATTTGAGGATGATGCTCCTTTCTTTTGTTGGTCTGGACCAACTTGGTCTTCTTAGACAAAATGCTTTGATCAACAATAATAAGGTGGTCTAAATTGCATTTAAGATGATTTGAAATCAGGTCAGGAACAATTTGGATTGAATTTAGGTCGGGTTAATAACAAGTCGTGTTATTTTTTAGTCGGGTTAGTAACAGATCGGGTTGAATTTTTGGGTCGGGAAAGTAATAGGTCTGGTAAAATTTGGGTCGGGTCAATAACAAGTCGGATTGAATTTGGATTAGGTCAATAACAAGTCGGGTTGA